ATACACATTTATACAAAATGTTTCAGGGGTTCATGGAATCCCTGACACCTAGCCATAGGCTCCTGGTAAAGAATTCTTGATCAATGGGCTCTACTTAAGTCTATGAAACACAATTCTTTCAAATTCTCTCCCCTCCCCATACCCCCCATATTTTCACCAACACGTTATTTTCTGTGTTTTTAAAATAGTAGCCATCCTAATGAGTATGAGGTGATAAAATTAATTTTAATAAGACATTTTATTTAGCCCAATATTACAAGTCTTCTTGTAATCAATAAAAATTATTGATATTTTACTTTTGTGGGATTACAACTCCTTTGAAATCTGCTATGTGTTTTATATTTAGAGCACATTTTAACCAGGACTAGCCACTCTTTAACTTCTCAATAGCCACCTGTGGCTAGTGTTCCCATATTGGACAGTCCAACTCTAGAGCCTTTAACTCAGTGTGACGTTCTGTATCCCTTGGTGGGGATTTCTGTTTGGGTCTCTTCTCCACTCATGCCAAGCTCCAGGAGAACAAGGAATGTCACATAATAGCAGCTGGCTGAAAGTTGGCACAATAAGCATTTTTTTTGAAATTTATCTTTATTGCTGAAAGTGTTACAGAAACAATAAGCATCTTTAAATGAATGAAAGAATTAATGAAAAAGGTAACTGTTAATATCCCTGCTCATGACTTTGTTCAGATTCATTTGGAGTTGATTTCTAGGAATCATTTGCAATGCTTTGTTTCCTTGATCAGCTTTCCAGACATGCTCCTTAGCTCCCAGGAAAGCAGAGAAATAAATGTTACCCACGCAGACCCTGGATCTGGATCTGTGAAGAGGTTGAAAAAACAAGTAAATGCTATTGTAAGGAAAGGAAAATATCCATCCTTTATTCTACTTAGGTTCTTGGCTGGGCTTCTGTAAGAAAAGATAACTTAAGAGAAAAGCATCCAAATTTATTTAAGGTAAGTCCTATGTGACATGGGCACCTTCATAAGGAAAGGAACACCCAAAGAAGTGATTAAACCTGAGTGTTTTTATGGTAGGTTTGATGAAGTGTGGAAAGTCATGGGAAAATGTGACAGGACAAAAGGGCAACTGCTTCACCCTCATTTTCTACTCATTGTGGGGCATCTCCCCAGTATCCCCCAGTTCTGACAACAAACACCCGCTCTGATCATCAGAAAGTCCAAACCAGTCTGGAAATTTCCGAGAACAAATTGTCTAATGTTTCTCTACACAATAAACCTCTGAAATTCTGTGAGGAGAAAAAAAATCTGGAATTTGAAGATATTTAGGTGCTTTGAGGAAGCTGGCTGTTAGAGGAACCCTGATGTGAGGCTTTTGTTAAGTGGAGGACCAGATTTGTAAATCAAACCATTACCCCCCAGCCAGATAAAAACTGCAGCTTCTGTTTCCTGGCACTTACCACGGACGAGAAACAGTGCAAGGGCCTCACATCCATTCTCTCTCTTTTCATAACAGCTTAACTGTGACATAATTAAAATACTTGTGGATGGAAAAAAGAACCATATACTAAACCTGAGGAGCTCAGGAGAGGCCTGAATGGCAGCCTTACAAACTCAAAGGGCTAAAGTAACCACATAGGATGATCTGAAATTAAAACTTTCCAACTAAAAAAGAGTCATGGCGGGTAGTCATGTGTTAGGCCAATATCTTCCTTGACAAAGGTGGATCTTTACCCTAACTGAGCCTGTCTATAGTCTTTCTGCATCTACCGATAACATACCTTTGGAATGCCAGGGTAATTTCCTTTATCCAATCCCAAAGATTCCCACCCCCACCCTAATCTATCACCAATAAATTTCATGTAACCCCCTTATGCCTTCCCTTTTGACTATGATGTATAAAATAAGTAGGAAAACTGCCATTTTCCAGAGTATCTTCTCAGTCTGTTGAGATTTTGTTTCCTGGCAATTGTCAGTTTGGCGCAAATAAACTCATACAAACTTACAGGTTTGGTTGTTTCTTACATCAACGTACTGTACCAGTCACCTTTTTAAAGCACATAATTTGGTGTTTTAAGTATATTCATAAGGTTGTGCAACCATCACCACGATCTAATTACTGAACATTTCCCTGATCCCCAAAAGAAACCCCATATGAGTTAACAGTCACTCCTCATTCCCTGTCCCTGCAGCCCCTGGTTAGTAAAAAAATCTCACTTGTATCTCTAAATATTTGCCTATTCTAGACATTTTGTATAAATGAAACTGTACAATATGTGGTCTTTTGTGTCCGGCTTCCTTCACTTAGCATAATGCTACCGAGGTCCCTCCATATTGCAGCACGTGTCAGTAGCTTATTCCTTCTTACAACCCACTGTATGGATATGCCACCTTTTATTTATCCACTTACCAGCTGACAGGCATTTGGGGTGTTTCCACTTCTCTGCTACCATTATCTCTTTTTTTTTCTGTGTACTACAGTATTAGCGATGCTTCTTTTTCTGCATTTTTAATTTTTATTTTTCAATTAGTTTACTTTCAGTATTATTTTGTATTGGTTCTAGGTGTAACAGCATAGCATATAATCATATCCTTTACAAAGTATCCCGCCCCAGATATTTCCAGTACCCACCAGACACCATACATGCTTATCACAATATTATTGACTATATTCCCTATGCTTACAGCCCCATGATTATTTTTTAACTGCCAATCTGTATTTCTTAATCCTTTCACCTTTCACTCAGTTCCCAACCCCCCTCGCCCCTGACAATCACCAGTGTGTTCCCTGTGTCTATGAATCTCTTTCAATTTTGTTGTTTATTTTGTTCTTTAGATTCCACATATAAGTGAGATCATATACCATTATCTTTCTTTTCTTTAAATCCTCAACGGAGGATGTTTTTTCCATTGCTCTTCAGAGAGAGTGGAAGAGAAGGAGGGAGGGAGGGAGATTGGTTGCCTCTCCCCCAAGCACCCCAACAGGAGCTGGGGATGGAGCCTTCAACCGAGGTACTAACCGAACCTGGGCCCCTTCAGCTCTTGGGCCAATGCTCTAACCACTGAACCAAACCAGCTAGGGCCATTATGTCTTTTAATCCACATCTCACCCTTGAAAGTATATATTACTCTCCATTGATTTAGTAAATTATGTTTTCTTAGAACACACAAAATGACAAATCATCTCAAGAAACCACTGACTGGGCTTAAAAATCCCAGAGACCAGTCAAGTGCTGATTCTTATATCAAAAAAGGATAGTGCAACCAAACAGAAACTTCATTTCTTCAATATGAACTTTTTTTTTTAATCAAATAATCTTAGGATCAAAGCTGCAGGTCTGTTGACCACAGAGACAGAGTTTTGGTCAGAATAGCGATAAAGTCTAGGCCTCAGTTGTGTTTCAGCTACAGGCCCAGGAAAGTGGGGAAGCCAGACAAGTGATGAAGCAACCTCTTATCTGACATCAGGACCAGATGCACTGATCAACTATCCTCTACACTAGCACCCATGAATCAGTAGAGACCACAACCCTGACCACAACACTAACTCCCTTAGTCACCATGATTAATGATTTTTCCTTTTATAACCCATCCTCTGGAAGCCATCCAAAGGCCAGGTGTTTGAGCATTAGCTAACCTGTGAGTCTTGGCATGGGCCATTCCTAAGTAAACCCTTACTTTCTTTGCTGCAAGCTCCTGCTTTGATGCCCCTGGGCAAATGGACGCCTTTAGTCAGGTAACAACATGGGTTCTGGGTTTTATTCTCCTTTCCAACCCTAACCTCAATCAAGGAAAATGTCCTGAGCCACGAATCCAGTTCCTCGAGTGTAGAGGTATTTCTGCGAAGAAAAGTTCTGGCATTCTTATGTTCTTGGCAAGTGGAGGACCCTAAAAGTCCATCTGGTCCTTTCCACAGCCCACAAGGTTGTAGAAGAGCACCGTGGGCCAGATGTTCCACTCTGCAGACCCGGCGGCTAATAGGGGTATGACTCTGGGCAAGTTACTTAACCTCTCTGAGCTTCAGTTTGGCCTTAACAACACTACTTCAAAGTTTAGGCCAGTGCCTGTCACATTGTAAATCAACCATTTCCTGCCTATGCCCCTATTCTTCCTAGGTGATGGCTCTGTGCCAAGTTGCCCCCCCCCAACCCATGCATGCTGGTCCCTATCCTCTTATCACCATAGGTTCTCCGCCCCCCTTTCCTGGCTAACTTCTCATTCTTCTGATTTCACTTCAAATGCCACTTCCTCGGGAGGCCTTCACAGACAGGCCACATCCCCCTCTCCTTAGCCCTTCTTAAAGCACCCTGAGTTTTTCCTTCGTTACTTATCACAGTCTGTAATTTTAATCGGGTTTCCGTCCATAAACTGTGCGCCCACCTCGTCCGCCTTGCTCTGCTGTGTCCTCTGCATCGGCCAACGGTGCTCTAGGACCCCAGCAGGCGTCCGTGAATCACCTACACAAACGGCTCACTCCCTTCCCGAGCTCAGGTTCAGAAAAGGGAAATGTTCTCAAACACACAGCAGATCCGTGGCAGACCTGAGCCCAAGCCTCCCTCCCTTTTTCCAATCCAGACACTTTCCAGGGCCTGCCTAGAATTTTCCTAATCTGCCTCCTAATACATTTGGGTCCCAAGGAAAGTTCCAGAAAGGGGGAGAATAAAGCAGTATGCAGAGCAGGGTAAAGTGACTCGGTCCCTCGCACTGGGCCTTAACGTCGGCATACCACGAGGGGGGATTAAGGCAATAGTTACGCGGCGAGGCGGCGACGACCACGGAACCAGCTCCCGGAGCGACACAATGGAAAGAGGGTGGGGCTACGGGACTCCCCGAAGAGACCAATCCTGCGCCGGCGCAGCACAGACGCCCCGCCCTTCCCTCCTCCGCCCCGCCCCTTACCTCCCAGTCACGGGACCTTAACGGCAGTCAGCTGACCAGGCGTCGAGGCGGTCACCTGACGGAGGGCGGGGCGCTGGCGCAGGGCGCAGGCGCAGATCTTGGGCAGTTGGGTCAGCTGACCTGTGGGGCGACCAAGGGGAGTTAGGCCGCCGGCCTTGGCTTTGGAGTCACGGTCGCCATGGCCAGTCAGTCGCAAGGCATCCAGCAGCTGCTGCAGGCAGAGAAGCGGGCCGCCGAGAAGGTGTCCGAGGCCCGCAAGCGTGAGTTTGGGGGTGGGGCGGCCAGGCGCCGGGCGAGGCCCAGGAACGCGGCCAGGCCGCGGGAGGTGGGAGGTGGATGAGGCCCGGAACGCGGCCGGGCAGAGGGGTGGTTACAGTCGCGGCTGCTGTGTGTTCCGAAGCTCCGAGTCCGAGGCTCTGGAAGGCTTGTAGGTGGGCTGGAAATTGCGTTGTGGGGTAATAGATCGGGCTTGGAGACGACAGTGGGTCGGCGTCCTTCTTGGTGTCTGGGAGGCGTGTGAAATGGGTTATCCAAGCGGAGTTCATTGTCTTTCCCCGTCCCACATGCTGCTGTGGGCGCTCCGTCTCAGCGAAGGGAGCCACCATCTACACAGTAGCTCAGTCTAGAAACAGAGTCCTCTTTGCCACATCTCCCTCGTTCGTCACCTTTAGTCAGTCGTCATGGTTTATGTATCTGTTGATTTTTACCCCGTCCGTACCGCCAGCATCTCAGTCCAGGTCATCAAGTTCACTGAGGCTCCTATAGTAGGCTAATTCGTTGAGTCCTTAAATAATTTTCAAAATGCGAATACTAGGTGCCAAGCGCGGTGCCCGATGTATCTATGGCCTCCACCTTCGTGGTATTTAGAGTCCCAGTGAAGGAAGCAGATACAGCCTAGGTTAACTGCAGGTGAGGTGAGGGCGCTGAGAATTGAGAAATGCGAGGTTGCTAAAGAATTGAACAGGTAGACCTAATCTAGACTGGTGAGTGGAAGAAGTTTTCTCACCTGCAGTCCATTCTCACTGCAGCTAGTCACTTCTCTAAAATGCAAACATGGCTTTTCCACTACCCTTTACAGCCAACAGACGTTTAGTGCCTGCAGAATAAAGCCCAAATTCCTTAGTAGGGTGTTGGAGGCATTTTTGGGTCAGTCTCTTGCTTTCTTGCCTAATATCACAGGTACTCTTCTCCAGACTGTTGAACCACTGTGGCACCTCAGAAGGCACCTTTGTTGATTTCTTTGCAAACTTTTTTGCATAGCTGTTTGCTCTAATTGCAAGAGGTTTTTCCCCAGTTTCCTCGATTTGTTCTCTAACCCTTAATCTTCCTTCAGATCTCAACATTGAGGGAGCAGTTCTTCTCAACAGCTTTCCCTGAGTTGACCTTCTCCCCTCAGACTAGGCTAGGAGTCCTTTCCAGGTGCTTATTTCTGTCATCACAGTGCAATAACCTGTGTCTTCATAAGGCTCAGTCACTTGACTGAATTTCTTTTATTTTTTAAAATATATCTTTATTCAGAGAGAGGAAAGGAAAGGGAGAGAGAGATAGAAACTTCAATGATGAGTCAGTCATTGATCGGCTGCCTCCTGCACGCCCCCTACTGGGGATGGAGCCGAAACCAGGCATGTGCCCCCACTGGGAATCGAACCCTGATGGCCTGGATCCTAGGTTGACGCCCAACCGCTGAGCCACGCCCTGCTGGGCACTTGACTAAATTTCTGAAGATCAGGGACTGTGTCTAATTTATGTATTCAGTTTCCCATCTGGTGAGAGAGATTTCTATCCCTATTTTACAGGTGGGAAAAATGAGGCTCAGAGAGAAATGATTTGACCATATCCTGGGAGGCAGCATAGCTGAGGTTTAGAGGCCTCCATTCTTGTGCAAGGAGAAAATACCAAGCAATATTCATCTTAGTAATTTCTTTGGTGTTTCTCCTAGCGTAAAACTTACACTCTTACCCCCCAAGTACATGGCTTTTGTACTTTCAATTAGGGGTGGTGCGCGATACTCTATGCTTTATAGGAAAAGTTTTCTTTGAGGGAGCTGGAGATGGGAACAAGCCTTTCAGTCTTGCTCTGGTGACTGGAAAGTTCTGTGTTATTCACAGAATATTTCTGATTGTGTTCTTGATACAGTATTTCCAGAATGACTTCCCACAGTTAGTCCCGTGATGGCTCATCAGTAACAAGTTGTGTCTGTTGGGAAGCATGTGAGAATATTTGGGGGAAGTGCAGGAACAAATACTTGGAATATGGTAAGAATAATTCTGAGTGCCTTGGAGAAATGGGTCATGTCTTAGATCTTTCTTTATCTCATCAAACCTGGTGCCGGTGTTTGTATATCTAATAGCTACATCGTTACTGAATGAATTTGTTTTAAAGGAATTTATGGCTAATATACATCTCAGAATTTGTAATAACTAGGAACAGAAGTATTGAGAACTACAGTTTGAAAAAATTATTGCCTTTATTGATCTGTAATTATAATTACTAGCCCACNAAGTATTGAGAACTACAGTTTGAAAAAATTATTGCCTTTATTGATCTGTAGTTATAATTGACTAGCCCAGTTAGGAATTGGGAAGAGGCAAGACATGATATGATAAAATGGTCCAACCCCAAAATTTGCCATGAAATCATTGCTTTGAACCATTTTACATATATATATATACATACACACATATATGTGTGTGTATGTGTATAGTGTTATGGTTTATTTCATTGGAGTGAAACATAACATTCACTCCCATAAGTAAGACCCACGAAAAACAAGATTGAAAAGAAACATAATTTCCTGTTCAGATATTTATTTTTAGTTTTCAGAGAAGCCTATCAAAATTGAACGTTGAAGATATTTGCTGATAATTAGAGAACGTATTATGTGATTAAGTCAGGGAGCCATGGGAGTTGGGAGTGATCAGGAGAGTGGTACTGTGAAATGATGTGGAGCTACTGCACAATGTTTGGGCCATAAATGTTATTTGTAGATTGTTGGTTTGGAAAAGATCTTTGTCTTTGAAATAGGGCTTTGAATATAGCTAATGAGGAGGATAGCATGTAGAGCACTGGTTTGAGGGGAGGACAGCAGTAGGCCCTNAATAGGGCTTTGAATATAGCTAATGAGGAGGATAGCATGTAGAGCACTGGGGTAGAGGTTGGTTTGAGGGGAGGACAGCAGTAGGCCCTAATCGTACTGAAGTAAATGTATAGATGCAAAAATAGTCTTTGGGTGCTTAGAGAAAGAGAGATCTGTTGATTGTTTCACACTTTCCTCATGGAGTGTTGATGTCATGGGGTCAGTGGAGTCCAAGATTCTTCAGGAGGTGGAAAGTTTAATTTCATTCATTCACATGAGTTGAGTGGGATTTGGGCAATTGATATACAATGATGTATAATAAAGCTTAGTTTTAGGTGGAGGATGTTTTTTGCTCTGAATTAAATAAATGTTCAGATTGATCTCCTAGGACCTTTTTTTTCTTCCTCTTTGGGTATTGGTTGGTCTTGGGGTCTGTTTCTCTACAGGCTCTGATAGAACCTAGATAATTTTTCTAGCTGTGCATTAAATTAGTCTCTTCTAGAAACCAGACCACCTGTTTCTCCTCACCTCTTAGGTGCTGTACAGTCTTACTGTCCCGTGCTCTCCATTCAGGATTTCTTCCTGATACCACTTTCATTACTTAGATCCTTGTACACAGACATGGCTTTTAGTTTCCAATATGACATCATCTGTTTCATTTAGATTTTCAGTTGCTGTCCCTTGGGAGCATATTAGTCTCCTTGTTAAACTTCCAATCACAGCTCCACTTGTAATCAGCACCGTAATTAGGTGTTTACTTCTTGGGAAGAGGAAGAGTTCCTTAGATGACTAATTTCACCCATTTGATGTTGGTTCTTAGTAGGTGACATTGGGAGAATATTCTTACACATTCCAAAATGTTTTTCCATCATTTTTACAGTCTGTAGTTATGGAAGGCAGTCCTTTGTATCTAGTCACTTTTTAGTTAAATAAAGCCTATAGGAGGCAGGAACCTATATTACTAGTTAGCTCTGAATTCCCTCTCTCCCATGTGCATATCTTTTGGGACTGTATCTTAAAATATTTTTCATTGTTTACGTTAGAATTTACCACCTCAGTCTCTGCTTCCTCTTCTTGTCTTTTAACCACTTCCTGATGTACCTCGTTCTTTTGAAAACAGGAAAGAACCGGAGGCTGAAGCAGGCCAAAGAGGAGGCTCAGGCTGAAATTGAACAGTACCGCCTGCAGAGGGAGAAGGAGTTCAAGGCCAAGGAAGCTGCGGTGGGCCCTGTTTATTTTCATTACTGCTTTAGTTTCTTGAGGCTTCCCTCTCCTCCCCTTTCCTCCAGGCTCTCAAAATACCTGGCATAACTTGGTAATTCTCATTCTGGTTGAATTTTAAAATTTTGGTTATTGTATGTTTTATTGGATACTCAGGCTGAATTTCTTAGGGTGATCAATTTTTAACTAACATTGAGTCCTAGTCTTCAGTTATTCAGTCATTTAACAAGTATGTTAACATGTACCAGGTCCTTTGTCAGATGCTAGAGGGTGAGCTGTGAACAGAAATAGATATGGTCCTTGCCCTCATGGAGCTTAGCTTACAGGCTGGTGGTCAAGGAAACTCAATGAAATGCAAGTCATGCAAACCTACAGCTGTGAAAAGTGTGGTTCTAGAGATACATAAATCACATGGAGCACCACTTTAGCGTAAAGACATATACCAACCGTATAGGCTAGATGACCATGCATAAGATGCATACAATAATAGTACAAAAACACATCGCAGAGAGTACAAAGGAAGCAAGGAAAATTCTGGAAAGGGGAAAGGATGGAGAAGGGCTTCATAGAGAAAAGAAACTCTTTCAGGACTCTTTTATATAGGTAACAGAAAACAATTCAAACTGGTTTAAACAAAATGGGATTAGTTAAAAACCCAGATGAAGGCTAACTTGATTTTGATCCAGAAGCTTAGTGATCTGAGAACTCTGTTTTCATCTCTCAATTCTGCCTTTGACTTTGTGGGCTTCATTCTCAATTTCTACATTGTGGCCTCTGCTAGTTCCAGGCACACATCCCTCCTTAGCAGTAAGCAGCAAAAATTTCATTCATCTTTGCATTGGGCAATGACAGTGTTATTAAAACTTAAAATGTTTCTCTGACTCTTAAACTGGGGCAGATTGGTGCTGTAAATTGTCAGACTGCCCACAGTCAGTATAGAAATACTCGTCAGAGCAGCCATCTCATCGTGTTTGTACGTCTCTGCTGCAGTTGTTTATTATAGAGGCAGTATCAATTTTGTGCTATAAGCAAGAGCTCTTAGTTTTTCTAACAGTGTTCCATTGTAACTTCTACAGTTTTGAGTAGTGGGGCTTGGCATAGTTTATGTTCATAAAGTAGAGCTAGTGGGTATTTTTTCCCCTGAGTAGGGGTTATGGACTTTTAAATAATAGGACTTAGCAACTTCTGTTCAAGATGGTGGTGTAGGTAAACACAGTACTCTCATCCTCCCACAACTACAACTAAACTACAGAACAACCATCATTCAGAACCACCTGAAATCTAGCTGAACAGAAGTCCTACAACTAAGGATATAAAACAGAAGCCATGTGGAGCCTGGTAGGTTGGACAGAGACATGGAACGGACTGGTCCCACACCCACATGTGGTAGATAAAAATTAGGAGGGATATCTCAGCAGAGGTTCCCCCTGAGGTGTGAGGGGGTCCCAGCCCCACACCAGGTTTCCGCAGCCCAAGGTTCCAATGCTGGGAATAGAAGTCCCCATAACTTCTGGCTGTGAAGACCAACGGGGATGGTGGCTGAGTGAGACGGAGGGCTTCTGGAGTCCCAGGCAGTTCCCTTTTTTTTTATAAATTAATTTTAGAGAGAGGAAGAGAGAAGGAGAGAGAAACATCAGTTGGTTGCCTCCCATACACGCCCTGACCAGGGATGGAGCCCTCTACCTTTCGGTGTGCAGGACAACACTCCAACCAGCAGCCACAGCGGCCAGGGCCCAGGCAGGTCCTCTTAGAGGGCCTGCGCATGGGCTTACTCAGACTCACTCCCTCTGAGCTCCAGCACTGTGGCAGCGTCTCAAAAGGCCGCAGGGATGTGGGGAGGACCTGAAGTGTTGAGCATCAGGGCGAGAGCTGGAGGGGCAGCTTTCTTCCAGACAGAAGTGCTGGCAGAGGCCATTGTTTCTTCTCTGAGACCTTCCCCCACAGAGCCTTCAGGTGGGCACCACATCTGAGTCTTCCTCAATCTAGCTCACACTGTAGCCCTGCCCTGGCGATACCATGAGACCCTGCCCCACCCACCTTGTGGGCCCACCCAAACTGTTTCCAGTGGCTTTTCCATACTAATGGCCTGTCTTGGCTCACACTTCAGGCTTCCCTAATCAAACAAGCAGCATCTGGCATGCCCCCTACCTGCATGCTCTTCAGTCATGAGGTTCCATTGCCTAGTACTGATTGTTTATATCCATTGATGAGACTGGGTTTCTCCAAAAGTATGAAAGTTGCGTACCAAGTGTTGTTCCTTGCTAACCAGAGCATCATCCTGACATCCCTTATGTGTCATTACTCCCTGATTTCAGGCTCTGGGATCCCATGGCAGTTGCAGCACTGAGGTGGAGAAGGAAACCCAGGAGAAGATGACCATCCTCCAGACCTACTTCCGGCAGAACAGGGATGAAGTCCTGGACAACCTCTTGTCCTTTGTCTGTGACATCCGACCAGAAATCCATGAAAACTACCGCATAAATGGATAAGGGGAGAAGAGAGAAGCGCCTGTTCCATGGGTTGCCATTTTAGATGCCTCCATGGAATAAGAAGCTTTTGCAAAGCTTGAGTTATATTCTTGTGAAAAGGCATTAAATTATTTCTGGATATTGTATAGTAGGTCCTTTTCCTTTTGGGAGAATAGCAAATCTAGTTTCTTTGTACAAACTTAGAACTTACCCAAAGATTTCATCTTTTTACCTCATATTTCTTAGAAATTTAAAGGGTATACGTTGTCTGTTTTTCTATGCCTTTTAGCTCAAGCAACATATATACAACAATATTGACTTTTTCTTTCTTAGATGTAGTAAGAAACACTTTTTTTTTTTTTTTAAGAAAGAAAGGGATCAAATGTATTTTTTTTCCCTAAAGCTTTCTTGAAGGTCAGGGGCTTTATCTATGAAAAAGTAGTAAATAGTTGTTTGTAACCTGTGAAAAGCAGCAGCCAGCCTTAAACTTGTCCTTTGTGGCTAAGAGTTAGAACAATGAATACTAGTCTAATTGTTTGGGCTGCTGTTAGTATCTCTTAATCAGAATTACTAGGTAGAATTCAAGAACTTGTTACATGTTATTACTTGGTGTACTGATAATCATTTAAAAGTAAAGAGTCTTTGTCATGCATTTTTCCTTTCTGGTTCATCATTTTTGATAATGCAAAGTGTACTTTGACCCAGTTGTTTTGCAGAATTTCACTGAGGAAATTAAATTAGCATGTGTATCACACACACATTCCCACACATACTTAGAAAGTAGTCTTGGTCTGCATCTTAGCAGGAAGGAAAGAGTCACTTATGATTTCACCCATCAGCTGTTTTGAAGAACAGCAACTAGTAAGTCAGCATTTGCCTTTTCTGCAGAGCACTGTGTACTGGGGCAGCCTTGCGCAGTTAGCAAGCATATTTCTTTCTGGGTAGGGTAAATCATAAGTGGAATACCTACCGGAACGTCACACTAGCGCTTCCAAGTTAAATGCCCATCGCCCTCTATTAGCTGAAAGTGTTGGGCTGCAAAATTATTTCTGGTAGGTAGAAACAGTTGAAAGAGAACATTGTGTGATTTCCTTGCTTGTTCTGAAACAGTACAAGGGAATTAGATGACCTTTAAAAAAACCTTTATTTTCTATGACTCAGGATTGGTTGATAGGGGGTCACTTCTGTCTCCAGTTACTGTTCCTTTTTTAGTGGAATTACTCAAAAGAGTTTTCTATACAAGCTTCTCTGTTTTTTTACTGTCAAAGTGCTANCCTTTAAAAAAACCTTTATTTTCTATGACTCAGGATTGGTTGATAGGGGGGTCACTTCTGTTTCCAGTTACTGTTCCTTTTTTAGTGGAATTACTCAAAAGAGTTTTCAATACAAGCTTCTCTGTTTTTTTACTGTCAAAGTGCTATGATTAGCACTTGCCACTCCATTGAAATTGCTTGTCAGGATCAGCAATAATAACGTTCCTACTTGATCTCCAGTACTGCCTGATGGGGTTGACTGTTCCTTGGACCACTTTCTCAGCATCTGCAGCAATGTGGTACCTTGCTTTTCAGTCTCTTACTGGTTCCTCCTGTTTTCCCAAGGATTTGTTCTTGGACTTAACACTAATGTCCTTGCTGAGAGACCATCTACATTTTCTGGCTTTAAATACCATCTATATTGAAGACCCAAATTTATATTTTCAACTTCTCTTTCCTGAACTCGAGAATTCTCAAATCACTTATTTGATATTTTGATTTGGATATCTAATAAGCATCTCCATCTTAACGTATCCCAAACCATACCTAGTTTTGTTAGGGATTTACTCTTGGTATCGCTAAGTGTAGCAACTCCAAGCCTCAGCCTACTGAAACTGCAGATTTCCTAAACTGGAGTGTCACAGGGAAACAATACCTTCATTCACTGGTTTACCCAGTATCTTTAACCTGGTTGCCACCAGTATTGCATCATGGATTAATCAAGTTGGATTTATTTATATAACTGCTTGACTTTCAGCCAACCAGCCAAATGTTGCTAGTCACAGAACCAACAGAGGGAATTATTTCAAAAGTGTGATCTAGGGTTGGTTGAGAGGACAATATAAGATCTGAAAAGCAAGAGCTTGTGATCTAGAAGAGGGAAACCCAAGTGGTTTGAAAAATGAATGTAAAGTGAGTGCGTGGAGAAACACAGCTGGGAAGGAAAGGGGAGAGGTGCAGGAGTGGTTGATGGAGGAGGTGGTTTGAGAGAGGTGATAACATGTTTAAATGCTGGTGGGGAAGGGAATAGAGCGAGACTAGAGTGGGGTGTTCTGGGTGGAGTGAGATCCAGGGCACAAGTGGTGGGATTAGTTCTACAGTTGTCAACCTTGACTGTACCCAGGCGAAAAGGGTGCTCAGGTCCCTCCCAGACCAGCTGAATCAGTCTCTGGGAATGGGGCCAAGACTAGGATATTTTAAAAGCTACCTTGGAGAGGGGCTTCTGTGTGGCCTGAGGAGGAATTAGCATCTGTTAGGTTCTTTGACAACTAAGACCGGTATGTTGGTTCTGAAAGGGAATGAATTCCAAGATACACATGCAGAACTGTGTGTGATTTATTACCACTGAGCAGCGAAAAGGGATATACAATTGCTTATACTCTGTGCAGAAGATCTGGATGATGTAACGGGTATCAGTGACTACCTCAGAAGAGGCGGTCTGGGCTACCCTTTATCTTCCGCAGGGATGTTCAGCAGTGTCCCTGCCCTCCACCCACTAGGTGCCAGTAGTACCCCTTCAGTTGTGACAACCAAAAATGTCTCCAGATATTGTCGATGTCCTGGGGGCCTAAACCGCCCCAGTTGAGAACCACTGTTCTACAGCAACAACAGCTGTTAAAAATAAAGTACCACACATAATTATGAAACATTCCAGGTGCTCAGCAAGTGTTTCCTAATTTTCTAAAATTTGTCCTTTTCTCAATCTAATCATCCTTGGTTACAAGTTTTCAAGTCTTCAATAATAGCTCAGGATAGCATACACTCTGAAATCTCAGAGGCTGAATACAGTGGAGGTTTATTTCTTTCAGTGTTCTGTACGAGTTGGGCGGCTCCGGGGCAGCTGTCCTCTGTGCGGTGACTCAGTGATTCAGATTATTTCCACTTCGTGGCTCTACCGTCTTAGCACATGGGTTTCCACAGCTGCAGAGGCAGGAGAAGAAACGTTGACAAATGTGCATCAGCCCTCATATGCACATTTCTGAAATGACACAAAACTTGTTCTCAGCCCACTGACCAGCATGGGTCATGTGATCTAACCTGTTTAGGAGGCTAAGAAATTGGAGAGGTGAGAAAATACCTGCTACAATTGCGAACAGTAGCTTTCTCTGTGCCAGCTAATGTTCTAAGAACTTTTGCATTTATATTAACTAAGCCTCATAGCAATTTTATATTATAGGATATGAGGCAGAGAGGTTAAAGAACCAGCCTACAGATGCATTAGAGTAAAGATTCGGACTGGCAGGCAGACTTAGTATCTGCTTAACCGCTGTGCCATATGCTCAGTACTGAGTGTATTGTACACCTTTTATGTATCTCACCCACGTGATTCCTTTAATCTCCCAGGTCCTAGATTGCTTGCTCCTCTGGCAATTTCATGTCCTGTAAACCTCTCTAGATAGAGATGCCCCCAATATTGCTCATTACAAGCACAGAAACTGACCATTCCACTTGGTGCTATTGCGCAGACCTACTCAAGTTCTTGAAAGGAGGCATAAAACAGCCAGGCATTGTGTGTAACATTTTACGTAAGTTCCCTGAAGATTTTCCACTTCCATTTTCTGGGCAGAAAAAAACCCTTGAGGTTCTGAAATGTGAAGCAACATGTCAGGCTGTGCAGCGAATCTCTGCACACTTCTAGTGAGGCCTATTATCTGCCAGGCACTTCATGCAAACCTCCAACAGCCCTGCAGTATGATCCCATTTCCATGGATGGGAAAGCTGAGGCCCAGAGGTGCTTATGGAACGGTCAAAGTCTGCAAGCAAGAACTTGACAGCTGGAATTGAGTCCATCAGATCTGCCTGAAGGCTGGTGGACTTTGGTGGGTGGGGCACTGTTGGCACATTTGTGAGAAGAGTGATAGAATGATGATGGTTCCAGAAGTCAAGGGAAGCCTTTTGGTTGGAAGGAGCTGTTTTGATGAGTCTTACATGCCCCATGTTTTTCACCTTTTAGAAAATGTTTTCTTTCCTTCAAGCACAATCTGGCAGGTCACAAGAGAGTTTTTCTCCTGTCAACTCATCTTACATCATCTCAGTGGCTCTGAAATGATGGACAAACCTGCACAGGCAGGCAGGTCAAGTCTTGCCCCCTCTATTCCCACCCCTTCCCCTACAAGCAAGCAGTTCTTAAGAGGCGGGAGAGGCAGCTTCTTTACTGAAAGATTTGGCTAGTGGTTGGGGAGAGGAAGCGTCAGACCATGTCAACATCTATCTTCTCTGGCTTTTAAAAAATCTGAAATGACACTGACCAGCTCCTGAGTCAAGTGTGAATTCAAGGCCATAACTCAGTGTTTGGGTGGATGATTAATGGGGATTGGTGGGCTTGGAGGGCCAGGGAACAGACAATGTCCCCTCTTCCCTTTTCTACTAGAAAGCTTACAAAGGGAAGAGTGGCAGCATTCTAGGAAGGAAGGCAGCAGTTGAAGATACGAATAGGAGAGAAGCTAGACTGGTTGTCTGAAAGTATGATGGGGTCGTCTACTATTGTCTTACAGTGTTTTTAAAGATGAAAAGATTCAAGTGTCTAGCTCGCTAGTTAAAAGCCTGATTACCTTTTAATTGCCCTTCTCTCCCAACCAGGTGTGAGTATTCCCTCTTCAGACCCTGCCCCATCTTACTCCCTTTGTACCTGTGGCTCTTGTCTTTCTGCACATAGTGTGGAAGTAGATCCTTGGTATTTCAGGGAGGTTGCTGGCCTCACCAACAGGAATTTGGAGTATTTCTTCTTGTTTTGACCCAGTTTTCTCACAAACAGCATGTGGCTTGTCTTACTCCCTGCACATACTTAACAAGGAGAGCTGTGCACTTAGTCCCAAATTCTTATGTGTGTATCTCAGGGTACTCTGCGTAACGTGACTTTCAGGATTTGGTATCAATTTAATGCAGCCATTAGCAATGGAACATTCTATGGGACATGCTTTTGGAAAACAATTTTAAGAGTTCTAATTAGTCGTAAAGGCTGGATTTGAACCCAGGTCTGTCTGACTTCCCAGCCTGAACTTCTATAGGATTTTGTTCAATTTGTTCAGGCCATGGAAACATTCTTTTTTTAAAAAAAATTTATATTTTGATTGAATTTAGAGAGAGAGAGGAAGGGAGAAGGAAAGAGAGAGAAACATCGATGAGAGAGAAACGTCGATCGGCTGCCCCCTGCACACCCCATCTTGGGGAACGAGTCTGCAACCTGGGCCTGTGCCCTGACCAGGAATCAAACTGGCAACCTCCTGGTGCATGGGTTGACGCTCAACCACTGAGCCACAGCGGCCGGGAAACATTTCAAGCAATATGTTTCTAAAAGAGTTAGAAAGTCAGTGAATCTATAACTGGCAGACCCGTTCTGAAAAAGAAGAGCTCATTTTTCAACTTTGCTTTTCATTTACTCATCCAGAGGTTCTGAGGCTCTCCCCTGCCCCATCGGCTACCACGCTTGAAGTTTCTGCCAGGCTGGGAAGAATTTCATTTCTTCTTACTTCATCCAGGTTGCCAGATAGCTGGCAGATGGCCCTCAAACACAGGTCTGTAACCCTTATAAACACAACAGGACAGATGGTGCAACTGCTGAGTAAGGGTGGTTCCGGCTGGGGTTTGTGGTTCAGTCACGCGTTGCTTAATGACGGGGATACATTCTGAGAAATTTGTCATTAGGTGATTTCTTTGTATAGCCTACTAGACACCTAGGCTCCATTCTACTCTTTTAGGACCACCCTCATGTATGCAGTTATGGGGTGCATGGCTATTTCAATTTATCTGTAGTTGAGGCCCTGATTTCATTCATAGCTATTTATTCACTAATTCAAATGCATGTAACAAATACTGAGGGCAGGGTGTCGGAGGACAGCTACGAGCATGGGCAGAAAACAGCCCTCTGTCTCATAGGTTTATTCTCTTTTTGGGAACTGGGACATCAAACAATGACCATACCATGTGCTAGGTGTGACTGTATGTTAAGCAAGGGTAACTATGAGAATGGGGGACTGGCCTGGGCCTGGGACAGGAAAGGGATCCCAGAAGGGTCCTTTGAGCCGAGACCTAGGAGTGTGGCTATAGGTGATGTGGTGGGAATGGAGTTTGGGGCTATCTTCCAGATGACAAGGGATGGCAACCACTGAGAACTAGAAGTGAAAGAGAACATGGGTTGGGGGAGAAACTGAGAGATGTCCTGTGTTCTTGGAGCTTAGGGTTTTTAGGGCATGGGGACAGTGGGTAAAGATTAGGATAGGGTAGACTGGGGGTGGGAAGGGACTTGGGCCCACCACATAGAGCCTTGTGAACCCATGGAAGTAGCTTTACTGATGTCTGCTTTCCAGAAGACTTTACTAGGTATTACTCACCTTTTACTGGATCTCATTTACCTTCCTCCATTCTATATGGAGCCCCCAAAACAAGCCAGGCCTTTCCACTGAGCCACACCAGCCAGGAAACATTTCAAGCAATATGTTTCTACATATTGGCAACCACCGAGAGCCTTGTGAATCCATAGAAGTAGCTTTACTGAAGTCTTTTAAGTAGCTTTACTGAATTATTCACTAATTCAAATGCATGTAACAAATGCTGAGGGCAGGGTGCTAGGGGACAGCTACAGGCTGTCCCGTGACTGTGCTGTTGTTCAGAGATGCAAAAGGCATGATGCCTTGCTGCCCGTCTAGCAGCTCACTTTTACCGAGTCCTTTCTGCTACACACACCATCATCTCATTTAAATCTGCCAGTGTCTCAGTTCTGGGGTGCTCTTTTCCTTCTCTTACAAATGAAGAAACTGAAGCTCAGAGAGGTGAACCGACCTGTGCAAGTTCACATGCCAGTAAGGAGCAGAGCCTGGTCAGCCGGTTCCAAAGGCCCACGTCTTCTGTGCCTTCCCAGCCAAGGAAACGGATGTGTCAACATGTAAGTCCATGCTGGCGGGACAAGCAGTGAGATCGCAGATCAGAGGCAGCCTGGCAGGGAGAACGGGGTCAGGCTTCATGGAGGAGGCAGGCCTTGCTGGAGAGGCAGGATTTGGGTAGATGGGGATGAGGCCACACGTGTCAAAGGGTCCCTTTCGGTATCCTCTCAGCAGTCAGCAAAGCTCCAACATCCCACGGGTCTCTTGCTTCCATCCCCCCAAAGTGGTGTTTTAGGAAATTAGGCAAACTAAATAGGGGCCTGCTGTGTCTTGCTCAGTGCTGCCCAGTACACTGCCTGGCACTTGGCAGGCACCCAGTGTCAAGCTTCACTTGCCTGGTGAATGAGGGCGCCCGGGCAGCATCTGCTGCTTAGTTCCTCAATCACTGCTCGCTGCCGCAAACACTCTGCCTGTGACTCCTGTGGAGCATGCTGTCAGCTAAGTCCTGTGGTCTGAGAGGCCCCAGCAACTTGGCAGTATCTGTTGAAATAAAAAATGCACCCCCACTCTGACTCAGCTGTAGACATGCAGGCCGTGGCATGTATGCAATCACTGTGACTATGACCATTCCAGCAAGGCCTGTGAGCAAGAGTGGGAACCACCTACATGTCCAGCGGGGGAGGGGGGCAGAATAGAATAGGCTCCCTTTTGTATGAACACACATGTGTGTGCATCTGCCCGTCTGTGCTCTATGGGAAAATAAATGTTAGTGCTTTCCTAGGGGAGGGGGCGCTTTCCACTGGAGACCCCCCTGAAATCCTGAGTGATGGTGGGGCGTTGCAGCCAAAGTCTGGTGAGCGGCTATTAGGTTTCTGGCAGTTGTCAACACACAGATCATCTCATTAAAGCACAATCGGTGACATAGCATAATCTGTTTTTTACCGAAAACTAAGGCACAGAGACTTGAATAGTTTTCCGAAGATGATCTTAAAAGCAGAGACGTGCCTTAGGGCTCAGGTAGTCTGGTCCCCAAACCGACGATCTTAATAATACAGTACACACAAAATTTTTCTATAAAAACAAGTCCCTGAGAAATTTCTGATCCCAAATACTGCCTCATCCAGCGGGTCCCGTGACTGAGTCAGGTGTGGG